GGCTGTTCAAATCTCACCGGCTCAGGGTTGACTCAGCCTTCCATCCTTCCAAGGTGGGTAAAATGAGAACCCGGATTGTTGTTGGGGGCAATATGGTGACTCTGTAAATTGCTTAGGGAGGGCTGAAAGCTCTATGAAGCAGTATATAAGTCTAACTGCTATTGCTATTGTTATTCTCGTGGTAGACAGAAATGATGTGTGAATCTTCCTGCTGGTTTCTGCATAGACTTTCTGGGGAAGCTGGTGGGAAAAAATGGAATTGGCAATAACAAGATTCTAAAACATTGGACAACTAGTTGGTGGTACTGAATAAATCAAATAGACATTTTCAAATACACACATTTATTTATTGTTTCTCAGGACCCATATTGCGCTAGATTTATTATTGTTTCTTTCCTACCTAAATATTTAACTGAACAACAAACATTTGTGCCAATATAAGATAGCATTTTTACCTTTCCCCTTATCCTCAGTACAATATTCCACCTAAAGAATTTCATTTTAGAAAATATACCATATATTCCGCCTTATAAGGCGACTGGGCGTATAAGACGACCACCTACTTTCAGATGTCAGTGAGCCAGCTGAAGGCCTCCGCGGTGTTGGGCTTTCATGGTTTGAGCTCAGCGCCTTCCTCCTCCAGACTAAGCCATCCAAGTGCTCATCCATCCACATGCCCAGGCAAGGAGCACCTAGGTTATAAATTGAAAAGCTGGTGTCTGCGTTGGTGGCAGCACGTTTTTTTGCTTGGTGGCATTCCTTTTTCTTTTGTTTTGGTTTCTTGCTTTATCTGGTGTATAAGAAGACCTCCGATTTTTGAAATAATTTTTGGGGTTTAAAAAGTCATTTTGTACTCCAGAAAATACAATAACCTGTGAATAATCTTTCAATCAAAAGTGTAATAAGTGAATATGTGAATTTCTTACAAAACTACAATATGTCAATATTTATTCCTTTTAGTTTGATGAACAGTAATATTCCAAATTGAGTAATATTTTGAAAATATATCAAAGGAAAAGCAGTTCAGTTGCCATAAATACATTCCCTTGAATTCCTATAAAAAACAATCCATAATTATTTTTCAAGAAACAATTGTGATTATTTTTGACTGCAGACTTCGTGTAGACTTCTGGACTGAATCTTGCAGCAGGCACATTACAGAAGTATTCAGGACAAACCAGAGATTGAGGGAGTTGAAAATCTACATAGATGACATAGATGACAAACAAATGAAAGTATTGTGCGATGGGCTCAAACATCCACAATGCACAATAGAGACCTTAACGTAAGTGACTATTTACTTTCAGTTTGATCTGCATCAGGGACGTGCAGTCAGGGGAGGCGGGCCCTCACCAGTGTCATGGGGGGGGGGGGAAGAAAATTAAATTAAAAGGAAAAAGGCTAAGGTAGTTGCTGCCAGAATGACTCTGCTTAGTGCTAACTGCAGGGGAAGGCCAGAGATCTATGGGCCTCCTTTGATAAGGAATTTTTCGCTTTTTAACACTTGCTTAGAGTTAAGCAAGGGTTAAAAGGCGAAAAATTCCTTATGCAAAGGAGGCCCGTAGTTCTCTGCCTCCTGATCTAGGAGCAACAAATCGTGCCTGTTGCTTTTTTATTTAATTTTTTAGATTTTCATCATGGCGGGCGGACAAGAGGAGAGTTGAAATGTTCCTCTGACACAGCTGGAAAATGTGGGTTCGAGGGAGGGGGCAGGGGGGAGGAATTCAAAATTATTGTAATTTAATTTGTAAGTAATTTTTTATTGTGAGTAATTTTTTGTGTGTGTTTGTGTGCACGTGTGTTTCTTTCTTCACTTCACTCAAACAATCTCTCTCTCAATTTGAGAGAGAGTTTGTTTGAGAAGAGAGGGAAGGGGCAGAGGCAGGGAGGGCAGCCTTGTTTGAGAAGAGAGGGGCAGCCCTCTCCCCCACACCGGGAGCCCTGTCCTGCTCCCCTCTCCCTTTCCTCCTCCTCCTCTCCCCTTTCTTTGCCAGCTGCCGCCTTGCCCCCCGCCTCCTCCATCCCCGCCGCTTTGTCCAATAGGCATCTCACGTTTATGTCCTCCATAAACGTGAGATGCCTGTAGGACACAGTGGCAGTGTTGGAGGAGGCGAGGCGGCAGAGCTCCTTCATGTTCATCCCCTTCAGGGCTTTTCCCGCCTCCAAGACATTCCTGAACTGCACGAAGGCAAAGCCCCGGAGCTTCCCATCGGGCTTCCTCGGCAGGGAGGCTTGCAGGACTGTCCTGAAGGCAGCGAAGGCACTCTTCAGTTCCTGTTCCGTGCACTTGAAGCTGAGGTTGCGGACGATCAGCCGGGTCTTCTTGGGGGGGCCCTGACCTTGGGGGGCTACGGCGCTTCCTGGGGGGGGCCTCTTCACCACCGCCGCCTTCTCCTGCCACCCTCTGCTTCTTCTTGGGCCGTGCCAGAGCCAGGCTGACCCGGCGGATCTCACTCAGGGCCTGCTGCGCGTCCTCCAGCAGGGAGAAGCTGACAAAGCGCAGCCCGGTGCACATCTCTCCGCCGGGAGCGATCATGGCCACCGCCCACGCCCTCCCCCCACCTCCTCCATCCCCGCAGCTGTGTTCGACAGGCGTCTCGCGTTTATGGCAGACATAAACGCGAGATGCCTATTGGACACAGTGGCGGGGACGTTGCTCCTCGCCGCTGCCGCGCTCTTGCCTCACCAACCGTAATCCTCACCGCACGTCACTGATCTGCATCACTATCTTTTGGCTGTTAATATTTTAGAAATATATCTAGAAAGTCAATTTAGTTGCCATACTTTGCCCTATTCTCTTCAGTTCCTAAAAAATACATTGCATACTTGATATTCAAGAAATAATTGTACTTTTTGAACTTTTTTTCTGGTCGGGCTTGGAGGGGGGACAGGTGGCAGGGCAGTGGCTTAGGGAAAACTCTGTGGATGTCCTAGAGTGGCCCAACCAGAACCCTGACTTGAACCCTAATGAGCATCTCCGGAGGGGCCTGAAAATGGCTGTCCACTGGCACTTGTCATCCAACCTGACTGAGCAGGATAGGATTTGCAAGAAAAAATGACAGAAAATCCCCCAATCCAGGTGTGCAAAGCTTGTTGCATCAAACCCCAAAAGACAGTAATTGCTGCCAAAGATGCTTCAACAAAGTACTGAGTGAAGAGTCTGGATACTTATGCCAATGGGATATTTCAGTTTTTTATTAAAAAAAAATTACAGACATTTCTAAAACAATTCTCTTTGTCATTATGCAGTATTGAGTGTAGATTAATGAGAAATAAATGAATTTCAACAACTATAGAATCAGGCCGCAGCATAATAAAATTGACAAAAGTTAAGGGGGTCTGAGTAATTTCTGAATGGGTCTAGGACCTTCAGGCTCCCACCCTTGGCCATGTCTCCTTTGCCTCCAGCCACCCAACTCAGCCCCTTCACAGCCAGCTTTCCCCCTCTGCTGGCCCTTTCCCGGTGATTCTCCCTGGCCAATGGGCCTCTGGGCCTCCGACCCTTGCTCTTCGGCTTGGCCCATTTGCTGTAACATGAATTATCCCAGGTGTTTAACTCCAGGGTAGAAAAAGCTGCAAGCCAATTGGTTGGTAAGTGGCAATGATGGTGCTGGGAAGGGCGGCCAAGGGGCCTGGAGGGGAATATGATTAGTGACAGGTTACAGGAGAGAGCAAGGAGGGCAGGCAACCAAATTCTCCTTGCATACAGCTTGTGCTGGTGCTGGGAGGGGGCAGTAGGCAAACACTGCCTGTGCACTCCTCCTGGGAGGCTGGGGGAAAACAGGTAAATTCTGCCTGCACATCTGGTGTGGTAGGAGGAAACAGGCAAACGATTGTGCATAGCTCCTGGTGGAGCTGGCAGGGGAAAGGAGGCAAATGCTGGCTGTGCACTGCTCCTGGGGGATGTGGGGAACATCAGTACATCGATGGTAAACATGACTGATGGTGGGTTTTGTGTGTGTATGGGGGGGGGGGTAGAATGGTGTGGTGCAAAATGGGAGGGCAGCCTAACTACCCATTCAGAGTTAAACCAGAGTCGAGACACAGAGGCAATGGCAGTGAGAGGTAAAATTAGGAAACCCCTGCCCACTGCTGCCTGCCCGTTGCCTACATTGTCTTCTCATTTTCACCACCACCACCATTGCCTCTGCACCTGGACTCCAGCCTAATGCCAAACGGGCAGTTTGGCTGTTATGCCACTGTGAATCCCCCCACCCCCTGCACCATCAGGAGTAGTGTGGAGGCAGCATTTGCCTGATTTCTGCTACCAGCACCAGGATGAGCTGTGCGCAGGCCTTTCCCCCTTGCTCTCTTCAGCATTTATTCCTTTCAGTTTGATGAACACAAATATTCCAAATTGAGCAATATTTTGAAAATATATCCAAGGAAAAGCAGTTCAGTTGCCATAAATACATTCCCTTGAATTCCTATAAAAATACAATCCATAATTATTTTTCGAGAACTAATAGTGATTATTTTGGACTGCAGATTTTCTGGACTGACCGGGATTGAATCCTGGACCAGGCATCTTGCAGAAGTACTCAAGACAAACCAGAGATTGAGAGAGTTATGCTTGGACATCATCTGCCTACATGATAAAACAATGAAACTATTGTGCGATGGGCTCAAACATCCACAATGCACAATAGAGGCATTAACGTAAGTGACTATTTACTTTCAGTTTGCTCTGCATCAGTGTCTTTTGGCTGTTAATATTTTAGAAATATATCTTGAAAGTCAATTTCTACACTAAACCTTTAGAGACTTAGCCCGCTGGACTTTTAGTTCTGCATCTCTCCCCCCAGACTGCGTCTATTACCGTGGCTATCATCGTCCACTATTACCTCAGAAACTTTACCCTAGCCATCTCGACTATTATTCTTCCTATACTAGACCTTTAGAGAAAGAGGCCTTTTTAGCTCCCTCATATTGTGCCGGCCTTGACTGGTTTATTGTGCTGTTGCTCTATGGACTTTATGTCTTTATGTACGGATTGTTCGCTTATTTTATCACCTTTTTTATATCTGTGCAATTTTTCTTTGTAAATAGTGTGGATGTGTATGATTGTAAGCGAATGATGCCACTTTTTAAAACTTGTGTAATTCCCTTTTATATTATATTGCNAAATCATTTTCGAAGGTCCCTTCCATTCCTTATACTATGAGTCTGTGTAGGATCCTTTGTCCTTTCGCTCCCTGTATCCTGTGTCTTATTTGCCCTTTGGGATAAAAAGCTTGGTGAGGTTCAGCTTGGAAAGATGACAGAGCTTAAAAACAGAGATATATGCTCTGCCTTAGGTGAGCACCTGCAACCAGATAATGGAATCCCAGCAGCTCCCTGATTGATGTTAGAAAAGGAGCTTACCACTAAAAGTTTCTTGGGGCTTAGAAGTGATCCGGCTACTTTCCCTTTTGAAAAGCTGTCAACATTTTTCCCCCTCCTTTGTTAAATCTCATTCATGACATGCCGAGTGTTCAGAATTGCCTCTCCTGGGCCCGCAGAGATGTACACACCAATGGGTGGAAAGACCTCTCAATTTTTTTTAAAAAAAAGGAGAAGCAGACAGGTGGGAATTTTAGCTGTGGTAACATTGATTGTCTGAGACAGGAAAGCAGCACAACAGAGAGATTATGCGCCCTGCTAGCCAAAGGTTTAATGCAGAATTAGAGATGGGTGAAGCAAATCTCTTTTGCTGTCTTTGCAGTGTGTTGCAAATAAGGGTGGGTTATTGTTTTGTTCCGCCTTTTAAATATTTTGGAAATACTGTATTTTTTGGAGTATAAGATACACCTTTGCCCCCCCCAAAAAAGAGGGTGAAAATCTTGGTGCGTCGTATACACTGAATGCAGCATTTTTGGCCTCCCGAAACCCCACCCAATGTTAAGTACATTGTTTGACACTCTTTTCTCTTCCAAGACTCAGTGGGATTGTTAATCGGAATTCCATCTGGGGAAGAATAAAGCCATGATTGTGAAAAGCAGTTACACTTATGACATCTGTGCACCATACATAAATCAAATAGCACGGGCTAAAGAATGAGTTAAGCACTGGAGCAAGAAACATGGACCAGCTCCTATGGCTGGTCCCCTTCCAGCTTTGCTAAGTGCATCAGCATTGGCAAAGAGCAGACAGAGGGGAAAACGCCACATCTTGAAAAGTACTGCTAGACTTGAAATAGAGAACATGATATAACTTGGGGCAGTTGTCGGCTCTACGAAGGCTGATCCCAGTTTTGTAAAAGCAAGAGCACTTGCGCTTAGACTGCTCCGTAGTGTTTGACAGCACTCTCTGGGTGGTTTACAATCTCAGCATATTGCCCCCAACAATTTGGGTTCCTCATTTTACCATCCTCAGAAGGCTGGGTCAACCTTGAGCCCAGTCACCAACCTAGAACTAAGGAGAAATTTCCTAACAGGGAGAACAATTAATCAGTGGAACAACTTGCCCAGAGGTTGTATTTAGCCGGTTCGGATTGGTTCAGGTGAACTGGTAGCTCGGACACCCCACCCACTTGCCCCTGCCATTTCCTGTCCTTTATTTCCTGCTATCTAGCTCATCTCAATCACATAGCACAGCTGATTCCCCCCCCTCGTTGTTCTACTTACCATTGTTGAGGTGGAAGGTAAGTAGCTGCTCCATTTTCAGCGCTGAGTGCAAGTGCTTTAGGCGCATGTAAAGCGCATGCTCACCGAACCAGTTGTTAAACTGGCAGCATCCCACCACTGAACTTGCCCCCAGAAGTTGTGGGTGCTTCAACACTGGACGTTTTTAAAAAGAAACTGGATAATCATTTGTCGGGAATAGTTGAAGATCTCTTGCTCAAGCAGGAAGTTGGACTAGAAGACCTCCAAGGTCCCTTCCAACTCTGTTATTCTGTTATTCAGGATCCAAGTCCAGACTGCGGGCAGAGTTTGCCTGCAATACTGCCTTCCAACCACTGCACCACCAGGGCGCTGTTTTGGTGATGGAGAAAGAAAGGCATCAAGGCAACTGAGACTCGGTACTGTCCAGTAGCCATGTTCTGAACTTAACACGGTAGACAGTTTGAGGTTGAAGCTGTGGGGGTTTGAGGATGCAACAACAGAGTCAGGTAGAGCATTCGAAGCGTTGACCACTCTGCTGCTGAAGTCATATTTTCTGCAATCGAGTTTGGAGCAGTTTACTTTGAGTTTGTATTTCTTGTGTGCTCGTGTATTGTTGCAGTTGAAGCTGAAGCAGTCGTTGACAGGTAGGACGTTGTAGCGGATAATTTTGTGTACTATGCTTTGGTTAGACCATAGGTGGTGTAGTTCCAGGTTCTCCAAGCCCAAAATTTCGAGCCTGGTGGCGTAAGGGATTCTATTGTGAGTAGAGGAGTGGAGGACTCTTCTCATAATATACCTCTGGACCCGTTCAAACTCACTTTACTTGATAAATTAAATTTGCAAGTTAAGCAAATGAAACTGGCTTACTTGCTTGACAAATTAAGTAACCCTATTTTTTGTCTTATGTAGTTGACTTGGCCCTTCTTATTTGGCTCGGGGTTTTCATACAAAGGAAACAGAATTATTGGGGGAAAGCATAGTACAGTTAATCGTGGATATCCCCCTGTAGTAACACAGCTTATGCGTGTTTTAAATTTAATTGCACTGTCTAGAAAAACGACACAGTAGAAAAACTTGTGGGAGGTCTGATTCCCATGTAGATTATGATTCCTGTCTGGAGTTGCCTCTTCAGGCTCTGGGGAGGGATCATGTTTCTCTCTCCTCATAATTTCATTCACTTAGAAAACTACCTTAGAAAAACTACCTTTCTCTCTTCTGAGAAGAAAGTTGGGGAAAGTTGGATTCACACTGTGCCTCATAACTACAGATCGGGTAAATGCAGACCAAAGGAAAATGTGTTGCTTGGTGTAACGTGCGAAGCATCATTCTGGAGAAAAATTATGTACAGATTCATTCATTGGCATTCTTCAGTCTCAAAAGACTATGGAATTGTGTTCTGGAAAAAGTCAAAGCTGGAGTGTCCCCTCCAGCACAAGGCCTGGGTAGATTAATATGGAGGATGGACTGTTACCCAAGCAGCAGATTCCCCCTCTCCGCGTCGTTGAAATAGTCCAATGGAACAGCAGAGGTGATATGATTGGTTCCAGCTGCGTCACAGGAGTTACCAAAACGTGGTTGTACACAGTCACGAACTGCTTCTGGGACTCCGGCTCCAGATTTTGCCTGGAGGTTGACTCCCAAAGCCTTTTCCAGGAGTGGATTTAGCCACAAGGCAGTGGAGGTTTGTAATCAGAGTTTCCCTTCTCCTAGAAAATGGTTCTGCCTCTTGATCTGCCGTTGGGGCGCAGAGCCCTCTTCCACCTTCAAAACCATTGACCGTCTTCTCTTGTAACCCTGGAAAGGGGCCCTTACGAGGCGCTACCAGCTGGGCCAGCTGGACCAAGGTTTTTTAAGGAGGTGTTACTCCTCCATCACTCACCCTTTGTCCTGGCTTGTGACAGGCAGAGCCTGGCTTCCCAAACGTTGGGCCCAGGATGGCGGGTTTAAGAAACCAACAAATGCAACCAAAAATATATGTGCTAAACCTACCAGAATCCTGGAATAGTTTTTATTTCTTGCTTTGCTTTCAGATCAGTTTGAAATCAATCCCCATTATTTAGGGACAAAGCTTGCCTCCAGCCCTTAAGGAATAATTTGGGAGAATTCTGGAATAGGGAGAGAGGGAGGGAGGAAGGGAGAGATGGAAAGAGGGGGGAGAGAGAGGAAGGGAGAGAGAGAGGGAAGGAGAGTGGGAGGGAGGGAGAGAAAGAGTGGGAGAGTGGAATGGAGAGAAGGAGGGAGATATATATATTTATTAGTAGTATTCCCAATATCCCTCTGATTGCTCACCTATGCCATCCAGTCTACAATTCTTGAGAAGTTAGTTAAAATTGGCTGAGTTTTCCCACTTGT